GCAGTTAAAGCAGTCTCAAACTGGATTGTTTCTGCCGTGTGTTTTGGATCTTAGTTTTCCCCCTGTCTGCCAAGCATGTGAACATTTGCATTTCTGCAGATACAACCAAACAGATATATACTGGTACCCAGTTATGCAAACAAATGCATTTAAAAATATAGTTGCATGAACTTTCCAGAGTCTCCTGGGAATCCTCACTTTCTGGCAGGAATAATCAAGTGACCGATGGCCCCTTTCTGCCCCAGTCCACCCTCCACAAGTTCCTTCCTCTGCCACCAATGCAACTCCACTGGCCACACATCTGTTCATCCGAACTTTCCTGCCAAATCCGGAGAAAACCAAGATCCTTTTTTTCAGTGGATTAAACCCCCCGAGTCCTCGAAATCCTGCACCCATCACAAATAGGACCGAAGGTAATGTGGCCAAATTGAAGTGAGGGCCAGCGTGGCGTAGTGGTTTGAGTGTAGGACTGCAACTCTGGAGACCAGGGTTCGATTCTTTGCAATGGGGGCCTTGGACAAGTCACATACTCTCAGCCTCGGGGGAAGGCAAACCTCCTCTGAACAAATCTTGCCAAGAAAACCCCATGATAAGTCACAAACAACTTGAAGGTACACAAGCAAAGTCCAGACTTTGAAGGAGCTATCCAAAGGGCTGAACTTGGGGGATATGGAGCAGCACTCTGGATAGCAACCTTAAAGTGGAGCTTGTAACTCAAGTCTAATCTGCACTGTAGAAATAATGCAATTTGACACCACTTTAACTGCCGTGGCTCAATGGTATAGAATTCTGGGATTTGCACCTTTATGAGCTATTTAGCCTTCTCTGTCCATGAGCTCTGGTTCCACAACAAACTAAAATGCCCAGAATTCCATAGCATTGAGCCATGGCAATTAAAGTGGTGTCAAACTGCATTATTTCTGTAGCGCAGATGTGTCTCGAGATGAGATTCAGTGCCCTGCTGATAACATAGACACCAGCTGTCTCTGGCCTGCTCAGATGTAGTTCCCAGCTTTCCCTATTTATTGAACAGGCTTGGTCTGGGCTTACAATGGTCTCAAATGACCACTAAGCCTTTGGTCGCTCTGAGGCTATGCTAAGATTACCATCCAATCAGATTGCAAGGAGGCCATTTTGCCATAGCATTTGCAAAAAGTGTGCAACTTGGCTCGCTTCTGACAGTGGGATCCATTCCCAGACCCAGAGTCTACAAAAAATATTTATTAGAGCACAGCTCCCAGATTCCCCTCCAGCCAGAACATCCTCTGGCTGCGTTGGTGGCAGATTCTGGAAACTGTAGTGCAAAAAGGGAAACCTTTCCAAACCTTTGCCAGATTGCAAAAAAATCCCCAAAAACCAAACCACTAGGCTGGGACCCCTAAGCCCACTGGGCTCCATCTTCTCTCTGGATTCATTTTGGATCCCACCCACCTACCACACAGAGGACTTCGCTCCAGTCCGGGCGGTTCTACTATTAAACGGAGTGAAGTGTCCAACCCAGGCAATTGATTTTTGGCACTATGAAGGGGAAGGGAAGGCATGGTTTCTTATATAATTTACATGAATTCAATCTAGACAAGGAGGAAATGGAAATCGTTAATACCTATACCCTATACCTTGGATCAGGGATAGCATCCTCAGCCTGCCCATGGTGGCAGGTGCTTTTGGTGTTACTGGGGTAGTGAACCCACTTCAGGTTGTACTCCAGTGTTTAATGATGCTAACAAGGTGTTGGGTTGTGTAGTTTTAAAGTAGGCAAACACCCAAGAGTGTACACCCTCAGCAGCTGATCAGGAGGAAATCAAGCTGGTCCTAAGTGATCCCAGCATCTGTAG